CCCTGAAAACTATCGTGGTTAATTATTATTGAATTTATCACGATGGGCCAATTGACCTGCTTCATCCTCATCTATCATCCCTCACTGGTACCCTGCCAGTATATACCAATGGTGCAGGAGTCAAGGTCACCATTTCGTTTTCAGCCACTAAAAATACGGACATAATATTACTATCATTATAAAATAAAGAAATATAACGCTGCAAGAATTTATAAGATTACACAATCCAGCTCTTCACGTTTGTAAATGACACACTGTATCCAAATCCAATGCATTGCTGCATTATACAAGTGAATACAAATTCGGTTTCGTAAGCTGTCAATGTCTTCATTCTAATTTAGTAAAAAAAGGCGCAAAACTTTTTTGCATAATCTTAAAATATATAACGTGTCTTTGTTTAATTGTTTCGCATCGGCCTGTGCGTTAGAATAGCAACCCTAAAACAATTTTCTTGAAAAGTGGCAACGGTTTCTTTAATCTTCTAGCATGCCTGTAAATCAGTATTGTGCCATTAGGACTCCAATTTCCGCACAGACCGTTTTGATGTTCCGTAACCATTCGATTTCCAAAAAAATACTTATTATTTAGGGACAGTAGGGATTTTTAGTTTGTCTGCATTGTTTGTAAGATACAAGGTTTGTATTTTAAAAATACAAAAAAATTTAAAATATATACAACCTTGCATGTTTAAAACCTGTTGAACAGTTTTTGCAGTTATCAATTATAAACAAACAAACATACATAAAATTAAATCTTTCTTCTTTATAATATTAATGTAGATTAGTATTAGAACAGACAGATAATGGAATTAATTTTTAATAATATACTTCAACATACACACAAGAGACAAAGCTAATTCATTTAAGTAAATCCTAAATAAATGAAAAGACTGGATCGTCTGTATCATACAAAAATATGTGAGTGTCCTAGAAAAATAAAACATACTAACATGCGACACAGTATATCAATGCATACGGCGGATTTTAGTTCCTGCTGAGATATCCAATTGAACTTATATGTAGGTATTTTATAAATAAAATTGTTAGATATAATTTATAATTAAATCTAATGTATGAAACAAAAAGTCCTATACTTCATTATATTATCAAACCTAGTGCCGTTTGTCAGCAGATAAATTACCGTACCGTGAACTGTGCCGTATGTATGTCCTCAGAGTATAAAACGGAACTTTATCCCCTTCGCAGATAAATGTTCATAATCTACGTAAGCCTTTAATTGAAATTTATAAAAATTGATTAAATTAATTAGGTTGTATCTTGCGCTAAAAATTTGGACTCACATATTTACATTTTACAACATATACTATAAAAACATTAAAAGGAAATTACGTTCTCAAACATGTCAAGAATCAGAATTACATCATGCTGAAGACAATAACGATGAAAAAGGATTAAATTAAACCAACCTAAACGTACTAAGTAAATTAAGGCTTACAGTTTGTATTCTAAACATAGATGGTAACAAATGTCATTCTTCAAGGCCAGTAACTTCAGTACGAGTCAGAAAATGTATAGACACAGTGGCAGTTTCCGATGACGAAATAAACACAACGCTTGGGCAAATGTACTTAATTTGCTAACCTTATCACACCTACAAACAATTTATCATACAGTGACAATCTCGAATGAAGGCATAAAATAACAATATAGTGAAATCAGAAAGTAATAAATACTATAGTTTATATTTCTTATAAATTCATTTTGATTATCACAAAGTTACATTCACACCAATTACTAATTTATTGTTACGACTATAATGCTTTAAAGATATATATTTTTACAACTTTAAAGATTTACGATCTTACCACAAAAATAATTTAAAACACTGTCAATCTAAACAGAACTTTATAAAATTATTAAATATCGTTTCGTTACGACTTTATTATTAAGAATATTTGTCGGGAATATATTAAAATTATAATATGTAAAGATTAACTGACTTAGAAAACATTATCTTGCCCTAAGTATATCACCATCCTATCTCTCAAGTTGGAGCAAACAATACACCTTTAAAAAATTTCATTACAATCGCTTGAGTGATTTCGGAAATTAGCGTAAAGGATCCTTATGATACGAAATGTTTATGTATTAGAAAGATGATGATAACAATCCTATTGATATAATTAATTTTAGTATTTATCCTTTTATGTTTGAATGTTTATTATTCAACCAGGCTTATACATCTGAACGGATTTCAAAGAAATTTGGTACAAAGGTAGATTATAGATATACTATAGTTTATACACTAACATAGGATACTTTATATATTGATGCACGCAGGCGAAGCCTCTGGAAAAATCTAGTATTATAAAAAAGCGCCCTATTAAAATAATGGATGGAGACGTTTTTAACTTTTTGTGAAGATATGATGGATGGAAATGGTATGACAAAATCGTGGACGTGCACAGAAATTTAAATTCGAACGATATCTTGCCGATAATAGAGTAGACATATAAAAAAAGCACCAAGGGATCAATTTTATGGCATCGTTTCTCTAAAACTATCTTTAAAATTCTAATTTGCTTATTTTGAGGACTAATATGGACTCAATTATGATGGTCCATTAAACAGTAATATTGCGAAACTATCAGGCACTTCAATAACTTAAATGCCTTAACACGGTACATTACCGTACGATTTTACCGTCACAATATATTAGAAGAACATAATGTAATGTACTGTTGATTGGAGACGCTTTTTATGGTCACCCACGATATAGTCGCGGAAAATTTAAGTGCATTAAAAAAAACATATATTTTGCGTAAATCTTAATATATAAGTGCCGTAAGATATCAGTATCTATAAAATATCGATACAGTAACTTATAAAACATAACTAAAATGAACTCGTTTTAAAACTTTTTTCCTAATACATCTTCCAGCCTCTCCCAAAGCATACTACTGAGCATGATCTTCGGCTCTTTATTCTTGAACTACAGTGTCTTGTCAGTGTTAGAAAGAGGTGCAGATTGGTTTTATTACAATGTAGTCAGATATAGGGGAAAGGAACCTTTCCCTTTCTCTCCCATGGGTATAGTAAGAAACAACTAAGGGAACTTAATGGTTAAAGAACAGGGGGGGATTGTTAGTAATGTGAACTACCAGCCCCATTACTAACAATATTACTGTCAGGTCGACCTCCACTTGGACCCCCCTGGAAATCATCATGCTGAATTCCAGGTGCATTCATTATAATGGACTAACTGACCTGCCCTTTCATTGTCGCCTATAATCCATTACTGGTACCCCGTCAGTATATACCGTTAGTGCAGGCACAGATAATATAATACTATACTAGTATGAGTTACCATTACATTATTGTCCATTAAAAAAAAATGGTTGAGTGATGGGCAGCAATGTACCTCTTAAAACATGACCAAAACATAACTACAGTTACCAACTTGCCTATAAAGCAAAATAACTACTGACAAAACCCCCTAATAGAAGGGAGGGAGGGGTATGTTTGGGCAGTGGATTGTTAATAGGTAATATTATAATGATGAACCAGATATTTGCTGGTTTTTAACCAACCAACAAAAGAAGGAGATTTATAATTCATTTAAGTTTTTGACTAACATACTGTTACTTTTAGATTATTCTATTAGGTACAAAAGCCCTAATAAAATTGTACAATAAAATTGTACAGTACAGTAAAATTGTACAAATGTATTTTGTTATTTAATTGGCTATATATAATCAAAATTTATGATTTTATTTTTAAAGGTATATTGCTTCTATTATTTGATTAGATTCTGAGACTTCTAGATATTTTATAACTTATATAATTTAATTAATAATCATATCATCATATTGAAGTTGAATTGAGTAAACAATGGCAATATTTTTTTTTTATTTCAATATATTTTATCTTATAGGAATAACTTTTATACTTGATTGTACAGTCTATAACTGTACATTCTAAGGAAAGAAATTAATTCAAATCAATCACCGGAGGCCAGATCAAAAATTTAGTTTAGTAAGGGAGGTAGATTAATTGAAATATAATTTAGAAAATAAAAGGTAAAAGTTTTTTTCTTATAACATGACATGTGACCACACTATCTTGAATAAACACAGAGTCAAAATGGTCCATGAATTCTATCAACCGAAAAGAGAATATTCTCTTTTCGCCACTCCCAAGGGTTAGTCACATTATACCAGTTGACTAAATACTTTTTCTACCTTTACTTACTTTTTCGGCCTTTACAAATGAATACTTTGTCTATTATGCTATATTTGAATAATCCGAAATTATAAAGTGAAGGAAAGAACAAGAAAGACTTTTAAATAATTAAAAAACAATAATATTGATACCAAATAATTAACAAATTTAGAAAACAGTGTTAAATTAGTTCTAATTTAACCACACTGATTATAATTGCACAATGTCATCCATAATTTTTACAAACTTTTTTTTTTTGATAGATCTATCAATATATGCTGGAATTGAACAACTTTTATACCACAATTTTTCCATAACCATTTTGATCCTCTGAAAATAATACACTGATCAAATAAACTGATCAATTTATATGAAACAGAAAAACTTTTTTAAAAATTAAAAATGATTTTAAATTTTTAATCTAAATCATACCAAAACTTAAGAATTGTATCTTTCATTCTATATTGTATAACAGTCATGGTATTTTATGATACCAGACAATAAAACAATAAATCTATATTAAATTTAATGACATCTGTAAAACAAAAGAAAAATTATACTTGTTTTTTTTTTCACTACTTTCTTAACCAAAAACAGGCCAGTATATTGGGTATTTTGAAGTATTTGCATTAGGATCTTTTTATAATATAAATAATAATAATATGCATAGCACTTAATCATTAAATTACTACAAAGTTATACAATCTTTAAGTCGGTTTTACGGTTAGATTTTTTTATTACGCATGACATCAGTAACAGGCCAGACAGTGTTTACAACTTTATTCTTAGCTAAATCTAGAAGAAAACATTTTTACTCACCTGTTTAACACTTTTAAAAAAGTACCGAAACCTCTGCAGGTCGCAACTTCTCCAGTGTATGTTACGGTCATTTTAATGGTTTATATTAGTGAACTATATCACAGATAATCAAGAAGATATTTATGATAATATCTTCAATAAACAAGAAAGGGAATTAATTTAGAAAATGATGTATAGCTCACTATTGCAAGCAACGGATAAACTTTGCTAACATAATTATGTTTTAGCGGTTGACAAAAAATGCAAATTTCACAGTACATTATTGATTAACACATTACTACCATATTTTAATTATTAACATTATAGAAGTAGGAAATAAAATTATGTATAAAATACTTTGCAAAAATACAAAATAACAAAGTATTCCTATGACTACAGAAATCAAACTAACTAATAGTAAGTTGTTGCTATGTTCATTCTGTGTCAGAACGATCCAATCTGAAGTTGTCTGACTTTTTATGTCTGAGCTGTTTGCCAAAGATTGACTATTTATTTGACATTTGACACATCTTTGTTTGACACATTATTTAATATCAATCAATAATTGACATCACAATTTGAATCTAAGAACAAGGAATTACATAGAAGGAATGATAACTTCATTTCTTCTTATGCAAAAATAATTAGTAAAAAGAGGCGAAAGCTACACAATCAGTTGTCATTTTTCTCAATTCATAGCAGGCTAGTGTATAGAAAATGTTTGATACATCAATTATTTGTATATGACAAATTTTACATTACTAGATTATATATTTGACATAGTTTATGTAGAAAGTATGCAAGCATGTTGTATCTGAATTTGGTAGCGTTATACGGCCGTACAAGCTAAAAATATGGAGTCTTTTTGTTTGATCCTTAGTCTATAGATGAGAGAGCCAGTAATCACTGACAAGAGTATTTCGCTATCAGTAAAAGTTTTGGTGGGAATTATGAATAAATGTAAAAGATAATGTTTAACTTAATTAAATAAAACGTAATTTTCTTTACATGACTGAGTATTGGTATAGTTACCCATCGTTCATCATCATCTGCCTACCCTTATCCAATTATTATTTGGGGTCGACGTAATATGTTTCTCTCTTCAATTCTTCTCTATTCGCAGTCATTTCCGCATTTACTCCTACTTTTTAGGTCTTCCTCTGCTCTTATTGCTATCCACATTCATTCTTAATACATCCTTATCCTTACGCGTCATGTGTCTATACCAGGACAGACGTACTTCTTAACTTTTTTTTATCACTGACGCTACTTTCATACTTCCTCTCATATACTCTCATTCTTAATTTTGTCTATTTTTTGTCACACCATATACCCATTTTAACATTCGCATCTCAGTTACATGCAGTCGTCTTTCATTCGTTATTTTTGCTAGCTTACACATCGATCTGTATAAGACAGCAAACCCGATTAAGCTCTTGTAAATTTAAGAATTTGCACATGTAGTTGCCGTAACCTGCCGCTATTTCATCTATCCAGAGTTAATTCGGTGCTTTACTGGTACGTCTAATTCACCATGCTTTGTAAGAGTGAACCTAGTTACCGGAAATCGGAACAGACTGGTATAGTAGCACCGCCAAGCTTTATGAATGTAGTCATAACTACGTAGAACTCGCAGAAATCGTAAAACATGTACTCAGTTTGGTTCTGCTGCTTTTCCATCCAAAACTCTCTAGACTTTGTTGCTACTCTACCAGTCTGCTCAGGACCTGTTCCGTCCTTATTGACAAGAATAATGTCGTCGCCATATATTCGATGCCAAAGCATCCATTATCAACAAGAAGAGATAAGAGCTTAAGGCCAACCTCACGACTACATTAAACACGTCGAACATATGTACGAGATTGACTGTACATAGCCTGAATTAACTTTAGAGGTACACATTTTTCTTTCAGAGTCCACCACAAAACCGTTCGAGGTACTTTGTTTTATGACTTTTCTCAGTCTACAAACACCATGTGCAAATTCTTATGAGCACGTCTGTACTTTTCAAATAATTGATACAGTAAAAATATGGCATTTATGATACTCGGATTTGGTACAAAACCGAACTATTTTAAATTATCTCGCTTTTTTCTCACAGTTACTTCTCTATAATTTTCTTTCAAACTTTTATATTGTCAGGCATAACCTTTATTCCCCGATAATTGTTGCAGTTACGCATATCACCCTTATTTTTAAAGATGGGCACTAGAGTATTAATGCATCATTCGTTAAGGACCGTCACCTATTGCAACAACTTATTAAAGAATAAAGTAAGCCACTTACATTCATCTTTTCCCATTAACATTCATTACCCATCGTTATAGTTGTAATATACATATAACGATGTAGTTGACGAGAATAAGAGTATAATTCGCTAAAATTTTTGACTTTAATAAATAAAAAAATCTTACAAAGTTGTTTGACATGTAAAATTTATGATAATTAATAATTAAATTATTCTTCTAATATTTAATGGCATCATAACAATGTCAACAAATTGCCATGAATAAAAATGTATCATTATCAATAGTTCAATAGATAGTTTTTCATTCATTCGTTCGCTAAGGAACTTACCAAATGAATGAATGATTAGAAAATGCCAAAATGGCCGATTCCTGTCGTTTTTCACTAGATTTACTGAAGTAACAATTTTGTTACTTTGTTTATCATATGCATAATCGAAACATTGAAATTCGATAATTGTTATTATAGTGGAATATAGTCTTCATAAAAAGGGACTTGCGTACCTGTAAGTTTCGGTAACGATGAGTGAAAATGCCAACACTGAAAGCACTTCATCCGAAGCGGAGAAGCCGGCTGTTGTTACTGATGCTAAGTTCCCGCCGTTCCCTGGTAACTTTTTATATCTACTTTATAATTAAGTTAATTTTGTTTAATTGCTATTGTTCATTTTAGTAAAGAAAGTAACTTTTCCAGAACCTACAGATCAAGACTTTGAAGAAGATATTTCAGAAGAAGAAAGAACTTTTTATAAGTTAAAATTTACAGGTATATTTTTGTCAACTTACTATTATAACACAAGATTAAACCTAAATATATAGTTCTCTTTAGTGTTTGTCATTCTAAAGGCATATAGATTCATATTATATATTATTTATCAATAGCATAAACATCACTGCCAGTACTAACATGTATAAGTGTCAATAACAATAAAATACTTGATTTTTAAAATTGTTATAAATTTTACTATAGGATTTTTTTATAAAGAAGTCATCTTATGTTTCTGTTGTGAAGCAGCAGTGTTTATAAAGTTATGTTTCTAATGGAAAGGTTGGATTTGTTAGTGAAATTACAAGATATGGAAACAATACATCTGATTTCTCAGGAATAGCAACATGCAAGGAATAATAATGGGTATACTGTGTATTTTTATGTTCATTTTTTGAGTGAAGATGAAATGGTAACCCCACCTGTGCTGTCAATAGACACTTGTGGGGCACAAGTTTGATAGGTGTGGATGAAAACAGGTTGGTTGGCCCTTTGTGATGAAATCCACAAGAAATTAATCATGATAGTGGAACCACAGGGAGATTGACCTGATCCCTAACCCTATATTGCTAGGAATGGAACTGTTAATCCCCATTACTAAAAATCACTTCCCCCTTGTCCATAATGTTTTTCATTTAAATTTGCATAACAAAAATAGTTTTAAAGTAACTATGTACTAGTTTTTAAAAATGTTAATATTTTAAAAAAAATATGTATTAATATAGCTTGCTATTATTTTCTTAATAAATAAGAAGTAAAATATTTCACTACCTAGATATATTTGGTAGGAGGTATTTATGAATAGTTAAATTATAATAAAATGATCAATGTTATCACTATATGCTGGTGACCACCATTATTGATGAAAGCAAGTCAGTTGGCCCATCATGATGAATAAATAGTACATGATCATGATGGTTTCAAGAAGGAACTGCATAAAGATTGACCTGACAAGATATATGGCCTTCTATTAAAATTACTTTTTATTTATCATCCTTGTACCACTGGTCAAAATACCATTCTATTTACTTTTTTATTTATCCTAACAGGTCACACACTCAACTTCATTGAAGCCCACCAGTATAAAACAACAGCTCAGACAGGGTTAGTTACCATATTATTCCAAATTCTGCTTAATTTGCTTTAAATTAAACTGTGAAACAACAGACTATATCAACAATAAGCTATTGTAAACTCTCCAAGCAGTGGGAGCTAAATTTTGCAAGCCCCAATGCTGAAAAAGAATCCAAAAACTCTGATCGTACTCTAGATCTTATCAGGAAACGGTGTAAATTATGGCCCCCAATCTTCAACATCTATGTCAGAATATAGGCAGCTTAATAAACAAATTTCCAAGTATACATGGCGTGAAATACGCCAGTTCAATACTGTAGGCATTGAACAGGCAATAGAGCGGAACCAAGGCTCTAAAGTGTTCACTAGAGATTTGGCTATTGGGCGAAGCCAACTGACAAAGTTGAAGACCCACACTGTTGATATAATTTCCATTGCATCTGAGATTTTTAATGAGATTGAGAAGTTCTATGGACAGCTGTACACAACGCCGTTAGCACCACTAATGCGAATAATGACCAAAGAGCAAGTCACTCAACACTGTACCAATGATATCCTAGACATCAGTTTACAGGAGATCGAAATGGCTCTCAAACAGCTTAAAAATGACAAGGCACCGGTGGAAGACGAAATTACATCAGTTTCTGAAAGTAGGTGGAAAACCAGTACTTGTAGTCCTTCAGAAGATATTTAATTTCGTCATCCATAATGGTGTTACGCCCAAGGTGTGGAGAAGAGATGCGGTAGTCCTGTTCGTCAATAAGGGTAACAATACCCTATGAAAGAACAGGATTACTGAAACATGGCCATACACGATTGCCCGTATACAAAAGCTTCAAATTACTCAACAGGCTATGGAGAGGGCTATCCTCGGAGTTTCTTTGCGTGATAGAATCCGAAATAGGGTATCTGCAAAAAAACCAAAGTAACTGATATAGCCCGAAGGGTAAGCAACCTGAAGTGGCAATGGGTTGGTCACATAGCTTGAAGAACCGATAATCGATAGGAAAGAAAGCTTCTTAAGTAGTGACCTTGTATGAACAAATGCAGTGTAGAACGACATCTCACAGATAGAGTGACGACTTTAAATACATTGCAGGGAGTCAGTGGATGTAAGTGGCTCAGGGCCATTCCTTATCCTTATGGCAGTCTATGGGGGAGATCTACGTCATGCAGTGTACGGATAATGGCTGAAGTCATGATGATGATCTGCTTAATTACAAAGTTTATTAATATTTCTATTGAATCTATCTTTGTTTACAGATTTAAATGTAGTAAAACATCAACGTCTCCATTGCACTGCTTGTGATCGCCATTTGGGATGTTCGGCTCGCAATGAGTCTCGGATGCGAGCTCATCCTATGCTCAGGACGCTCATGTGTCATACTTGTCATACTTTTTACAATAGTGGCGAGTTTGAGAAAGGCGATGATGGATCAGAACTTTACTGTCGATGGTGTGGACAAGGCGGTCAAGTATATTGCTGCTCTGACTGTCCACACGTATTTTGTGCGGTAAACATTTTATTTTGATCATAATAGTAAAAAAGTTTAGTAGGCAGATAAAAAAAGTCAACAACGTTTTTGTGATCATTATTTTTCTACATCATTGTAAAATTTTCATCAAAGTTTAAGCTGTGTAAGATATTATATAATACTACCCATTGATAGACACATATACCAATAAATAGACAGAAGTTTACCAGAGGGAGACTTTATACAAAAGTCGTTTGCTTGGGCACCTTTGTCCCATTCGTGTTTCTACATTGAAGCAGTTGTGTTTACATGGCTGTTTCGGTTTGAAGGGTGGGATATGGCAGTGAATTTACAGGTTATAGAGGAATAATACCTGAGTTCTTAGAAATGACAATGCATCGAAAGTATCATGGGTGAAACAGTGTACTCTGTTATGTCCATGGTACTGCTTATGTCTATAGGCGACAGTTACCACTTTCCATCAGATGGATCGTCAGCTTGTTTGCCATTCTAAGTTGCATAAAAAAAAGTGTTTTAATATATTTGATTATAAAATGTAAAATCACAATAAGGTATCCTTATATATATATGGTATATATATCTATAATAATATCCTTATTAAATCTTACTAATATAAATCTGAAATGAGTTTGTTACATTTTATTATACAGCAAATCTTAGTTATAGGATACAGAGTCCTTAAGAAAATAATTAGCACAATGGCGCACTTATCCTTTGAATGGGATTACTAATTATCTTACGGTCAACCTTTGAATGTTAATTAAAAATAAGTGTTATTGTTTGTTACTTCTTGGTGCCTTAATGACTTAACCAATTATTATAAAATTTGTTATACATATATTTATAATTTTTAGTCTTTACAAACTTATTGGCTGTGTTGATGGTCAGTCAGAACAAATTATTTGATGTTATTAAATATTCTTTTCAGAAATGTATCAAACGTAATTTAGGTATGCCTAAAATAAAAGAAATTGAAAGTGCAGATGATTGGAAATGTTTTAAGTGTAACTCAAAATGCCTTTGGGATCTTCGAGCGTTGTGTTGGGCTCTTTTACGCTACTGTGATCTGAAAAACAAGTAATTCATTTATGTTTCTTAATATAAAAAATATTTTACAATAAGTATATTTAATGGTATAATGATGACCAAAGACAAACTCTATATAACAGTAATTCTAATAGGTACTCCTATCCCACGTGTGTTTTATAGCCAAGAAGCTTCACTTGCAAAGTTTTGTTTTAATTTGAAAGGTAGGATATAACTGTGAAATTAATAGATATGAGAAAGGGTAACATCTTAGCAAGTAATGTCAATTTTAAGAAGTTGTAACACTAGGATATATACTATGGATGTTAAAGTATATTTCTAGATGGCCTTGCTATTCTTTGTTTTAAAGTCCAAAATTACTACTGGTGAGAAACCAGACAACAAATATCTGGAGACATAATCTAGAATTCAGACATTTTAGAAAAAAATCTTTTTTAAATTGGCTTGACTGAGAACCGAACCTGGGATCCCTTTTACGCAAAGCAACAAGCACTGCATCACAGAGCTCATAAATATATAATTGAAATTGACTTTTTGTTTTCCAGATTTACCTACAATGCTCAAGACCCTAATTTAAAAGAAGCTTATCAGAAAGACTGTGCTACTGATTTGTCAGAGTGTTGTAAACATAAAGGAAAACTGCGAAAATCAGATGCTTCAAGAAAGCGAGAAGATAAGAAAACTCCAGATAATGTAGTTAAAAAGAATCCTGTTTCCCCAATTCCTAAAATGGCTCCTACCATTCAGGTATTTCAAATTATTATATAAATTTATCTTAGAACCTATCATCATATCACACATTAACTATCCACTGTTGAATATAGGCTTCCTCCATAAACTACAATAAGAAGCCATCCTGAACCACTTGCATCCACTGACTTACTGCAATGTAATTGAGGTCCCCACTCCATCTAGTGGAGGTCTTCCTATGCTGCGTTTGTTTATACGAGATCACCACCTTTTTCTACCATCGGTTGCTGGTTCTTCGAGTTGTGTGATCAGCCAATTGCCATGTCAGCTTGTGTGTCAACTTATGTTTGACGTTTTTATAATTAAGAGTGTTTAGTCTTCTATTTAAGATTTAAATGATAATTATTTGAATAAATCACTGTATAACTTAAAAGAGAATAGTCAACGAAAACAGTCTAATAGTTAATGTTTTTGGCGGAAGTTACGTCATATTTAGATGACAATTCGATTTCGATTTTATTGAGAAGTGCTAAATTTGTACCAAATTGCAGTCAAATTGGACTCATGTCGACATATATGACGAAATATATGCACTTTGTTCCACTTTATTGTAAAATGTTTATCAAGTATATTTCTGTGTTGCAGGTTAAAAAATTTGCATCAATTAATATTGATGAATTAAAGTCTGAAAAGAAAGCTCCAAAACGACCAGTGAGCCCTAAAAATAAACCAGTAATTATAAAAAATCCAATAGCTATAGCACCTGCGCCTTGTCCGAAATTATTAAATCCAATGAGTATTCCCCCACTAGCCAAGAAGATGAAGGTATGAATATTTTTTTAATGTCATATTATTGCATGTATGACAATTCATATCATATATCACCATATCAGTAGCCTTAAATGTACCACTGCTGAATATAAACCTCACCCTTAAGGAGTTTTACCGGTATTTGCCGTGCTTGGCAGGCGGATTGCCAACAGCATTTAAGCTTTAGAGATGTTTTAAGAGAGATGCTGCTGCCCATCCCTCGTCCTCTCTTAGTCGCCTCTTATGACACCCAGAGGAAAGGAAGGGGTGGGCTATTATATGCCAAGATCACATGGCCAGACAATTCATAGTTTTTCAATAACAGGTAACTTATAATTATTCTAATTTTTTCAGGTATGCAATACTAATATAATATCACCAGTAAGATTCAATAATGAAAGAAAACAAATTATCACATATCCACGAATAAGACCCAGAGCGCCTCAAATGTCAGTGCAGACTATGATAAATAATCAATTCAATGGTTTCAGTAGTAGCCACAACTACAACAACATTGTTAATGACAACATTAATTTGTCATTGGAGAGTTTAACACAGGTATTGAAATGTATATACAATAGTAGTCACATTAGTATTGTATTCAGAGCACCTACAATATTTTTTTAAATTTAATCACAGTCGTAAATCTGTGAGCGCTCCGATCGTGCTCTCACTTCCTCCCGCGAGTTTCACGCGGCTTGGCGACCATATGCGTGGATTTCGGAAGTAGAGAAATCAATGAAATTCATCACTTCTAGATTATATATCACATTGAAATATATATTAGATAATATATCAATTAACCTTTAACTGTTCACTGCTAAATATAAGCCTCCCCCTTGGGGGGTTTGCTAGTAGTTGCCATGCTTGGCAGGCCGATTGACAACCGCAGTCGCTGCTGCCCATCCCTTGCCCTTTCTTAGTCGGCTTTTACGACACCCACGGGAAAAAGGATTGTTAGTAATGGGGATTAACAACCCTATTACTATCGAGATACTCTATCAAGTCGATTGCGGTTTCCCCTGGAAACCAACGTAATTGATTCCTTAGTGAATTTGTTACAATGGGCTAACTGATGAAGCAGCCATCTTCACTTATCATCCCTCATTGGTGCTCCGCTAGTGTATACCGATAGCGCAGGCGGTGTGACCATTCCCTTATTATCCATTAAAAAACAAGACACCCGTGGGAAAGGCAGGGGATTGGCTATTCTATGCCGGCACATAATAAAGACCTAAAGACCTCAAGGAATACAATTGTAAAAGTCACATCAAATTTGGTGGAGTCGTTTTTATTTGATGTCAGAACAAACATACAATTGGACAGTTAAAATTTCTATAAATGATTGTTTTGGCATCTGTTGGTCCTATTAAGACTTCATAATATCTCCCATGTACAGATATTGTCTAGTTACAATTTGTTTATATTAGTAAAACATTAGCAGGAATTAGGATGAAAAACCGGTAATTAGTCTGCAATATAATCACAATTTAATACACAATACCTCTTAGAAAGCAGCAATATACAATATATGTAAAAAGGCAGTTTCAAGTATAACATTGACAAGATAAGTTATGAGGACTGAGGTCTCATATTTTCATTTGTCAATATTGGAGATGATATAATCATTTAGTAGGGAAATTATATATTTTATATTAAAGTAGTATTAATTAAAATTTGCAATTAATTAACTTCTATTATCATGAATGTTTTATCATTTAGGGTTTGGACATGCATGCTGTAGCTGCATTGGCTAACAATAATACGTCTCAAGATGATGATGTGGTGTGTACACCAGATTTCCCCTTAGAGCCATTATGTGAGGTTTGTATTTACTTAATTTAATATATTCTTTTATTGATTTTTACTTACCAGATTTCATGAGCCATTAACTATCCACTGTTGAACATAAGCCTTCTGCATAAGGACAGTTTTGCCAATAGTTGCCAGGCTTTACAGGCGGGTTGGCAACCACAGTTAGGCTTTTAGAGATATTTTAAGATGGATGCTGCTGTCCATCCCTCGCGCTCCCTTACGACATCCACTAGAAAGGAAGGAGTGGCCCATTGTATGCCCCACGGTGTGGTCCATGTGGCACCATGTGGTCCCCACACGGCATTATAAAATATTCTTATGGTAGACATTAATCTATTATAACTTTAGGACCACTATTTGATGTTTTCGCCATATTTCTTTTGTTCTTGCTATAATGCATTTATGAATAACACTTGCTATTGTAAGTTTTTGATAGGTTTATAGAACATTTCTATCTAATGTCGCTATTGAACAGTTACTGCAGAATTAGAATGTATTTGTGAATAAGATTTTTATAATCACATCATTTCCTTGTTATAAAAGGCTTATAACAGGTTGATATTTTTTAAGAACAAGTTAGAGTTTTCTTAAACAGTGTTAAAGAGATAAATAATCTTTTAAATATTTTTTGTAGTAAGACTGCTAAACTTTCTGACTAATAGGCAACTGCTCTCTCGAAGGCTGTAACTCCATTCTAAATTTTTAATCTATTATAAACTATCAAAATTATGTAAAGAAAAAATAAACTTGTCAAAGTTTCACACTAGTGGTGCCACCTTAATTAATCTTATATTACTAACTAGTATGTGTTGATTTGAAAAGTAGGAAAACCAATAAAATAGACCTCTTCTAAATGACACGTATCATGATAAACCATACACTGGATTTTAAATTTAACCTTCAGGAACAGCTGTGAAAACCGCATCCAATTTGGTGCAGTAATTTTTGTGTGTTTCCCGAACAAACAAAGATACAGATAGAAAAAATTTCTAATAACTATTGTTTTGACATCTATTTTTCTTGTTACGAACTCTCATATTAGTCTTTCTTAAGTATCTCCCACGTACAGATATCGTTTAGTTACGATTTTATTAAATATATTTTGAGAATTGTCAGAATAATATCCTATTCTGATGACTTGGGAGCTATAGTATTTACTACTTATATTGATTGGAAATGATTTTATATTCTCGCTCACTGATATTTAATCTTGACAGTCCCTAGGCTGTGAACTAGACTTAGGCGGATAAAAGGCATCAAAAAATTATTGAAAACAATTTTGTTAATTAGTAAATTTTTTTTTTTATTTTATATTTCTACTACATTTTGATTTCAATACAAAATAAAATATTACAAAAGCTTAAAAATTTTATTAAATATGGATATTCCATTAAATGCAAATTTAATCATAAAAAATAATTGTCATGTTTTTTAAATTACATTTATTAATTATTAGGTTTTACCCATGGTGACCGAGACGTATTTGCTTGTCCTCCATCTCTTATAGTGTGTATAGATCAAGTTTCATAGTATTTGATTAAGCCGTTAAAATGCTATAAGGTAACAAACAAACTAGCAAACTTGCTTTTACATTTATAATATAAGTAAGGAGACCCGTTTTTCATTTTTGTCATTATATTGACACTTTAGACAATTAGGTAAATATATGATACATATTTATTATTTCAGTAATAAAAATTTATAAAGAATCAATATAATATATATATTGTGCTTATTGTATATAAATAAATTAATTAATTTAAACATAATCCTGCTGCAGGTCACAGAAGACAACACAGATGATGATGTCCAGTGTATTACTCCAGGACCTGCACCAATCCCACCTAAGGTTAATAATCCACCACCTCTGGTACCATGTGCTGGTAATCAATCAGATTTAACTTTGTCCTCGGATAATATTATACAAATGACTGAAAATGATGTCACAGTAAATGCCTCTACAGGAGGATTGAAGTTCCGTGTTGACCCTCAAACTTTATCGTCCAATAAAATGTATCGCCTACCAGATGGGCGCATATTTGCCATTAATGCTAATCCAAATATGCCAGGAGGATACTCTGCTACGATAGTAGCGGTTACTGAAAATGCGCCTGGTGCAAAGACGCTCTCCAAAACTCAAACATACTCAGCCAAACTTAGTGCAGTTTCAACCTCTACATTGAATTCACAAACCTCAACGCCTTTACAAAAATCTACTCGTCAAGGAAATTCTCGTTTAACACAATTTTCAAAACAAAATACATCAAAGTTTTCAAAATTTAAAAAATCTGTAGATACACCTAGAGAGTGTGATATGCAAGTACCTGTTGAATGGTATCGATACAATTTATTAGATGCAGTTGATGCTTTGGAATATTCACTGTCTAGATTAAACAAATTAAAAAAAGAGGCGACATCAATGTACCTTCGTACTAGAACTGTTGATGAAATGAAAAATCTTCATAGGTCTTTAGACCGATTATTGAACACATCATCTAGTCGGTTTAATGAAATTCGCGAAAATTTAAATAAGGATTTGAAAATTTACCTTTCGAAAAAAGCTGCCAATAATATTAGTGAAGATGACGATGATGTAGAAATATTACCTGATAATGAAAATGATGATCCAATTTTCATTGATGAAAATTCCGTTGATTCTAACGCGAATTGTAATGACGGTCAAGAAGTAGATTTAACTGGAGCCGGCAGTAGCGAACATAATGATAGTGCAGAAAATAGAAATGACACTATTATGGACACAAGCAAAGACCCTCTTAGTTTAATTAATAAGGAAAGTTTTGATACTGATAATAATACTTCTTCAGTTGATGATATGAATAATAAAACTAATGAAACTGTGAATAAAAACCAAAACAAAATAAAAGATCGACAGAATTTTGGTAACAGCGATACTGCAGTAGGTCTAATTCAAAATGAAACTAAACAAAAAGAACAAATTTGTGGAAAACTTCACAACTTAAACTGTGACGAATCAATGGAAACAGATAATGTGAGTGAAGAATTGACTTGGCTTGAAAAAGAAGTTACTTCTGGTAATCAGCATATAAATAATGAAAGTGAATTATTAAATGATAGTAGTAAGGAAATTGATGAAGAGGTGTTAGATATTAGTAAGTCTAATGAAAAAAGGGGAAATATACAAGATACTAAATCAAATGAGGTTAAAAATGAAAACTCAAAAATATGTAAAGAAAAAGTTAAGGCATCTCAAAATAGTGGTGAGAATATTGAAAATGTTGAAATAAGGGACAAAAACCCAAAGACTGTGGAAATTAATGAGAAAAATGTAGATGATACAGAAATATCTGATGAAAAAATACAAGATGACGAAATTAGTGATGAAAAATTTCATGATACTGAAATGAGTGATGAAATGATTGAATCTTTATTGAAAGACGATAATGGAAAGGATGGTATAGATTGCACATAGAAGAATTACTGTGAATAAAATAGTGTTTTAAAATTATTGGTTTTTAAAGTATCACATCTAGTAGAAAGAATGTATATGTATAAAAAGTCTATACACATAGCTATAACATAGCTATTTAATACATACCTAAACGTAAAATAGTTTTAGTATTTTGTATTCTATACTGATTGTGCTGGTCATTCTGTGCTGTGGCATGCATGTAAACAATTTATTATAATCAACAATATAATTGTTACTTAGATATTATAGTTTTGAGATAAAATGTTATTAGCTAAGGATTCTAAAATATGATGCTTTGAGTACTTAAAATTATCGAATCAGACAAATGATGATAATTTTGTATTCAGAGGGTTTTATTATTTTGACTTTCAATTTAAAAATATTTTCAAATAATGCATTTACCATTTATTCTATACAAAACATCAGTGTCATAATGAAACATTTTTTCTTATGGGTCATAATATCATTAAGTATAATAAACATTCATTCATTTATATCTCAACTTACGTTTACAAATATGTAACAATGAAACCTTGTGGTATTTATTAATTGCCGTTTGAATTGTGTGATAATATAGTATCAAGAAATTTAATATATATAGTTTTGTTATTGATTTCTTTGCATATAATAATGTTCTGTCTATTCAAGTATCTACTTCCATGGTGTTTTGTTGTCCAACTACTTTATTTTTAAGCCCAGACTGTAATGCCTCACAAAAGGTTTTCCCGAGAGACTACAGCATGGGGTTCTTCAAAAGGGGGGTAAAGAGGTTTCTTTATTTTTATTGCAGGCGTTCATAGGCTACGTAACCGCTTACCATCAGGTGGGCCGTATGCTTGTTTGCCAAAAAAAAAATACAGAAAACATCGATTGCTGTAATATAATTTGTACAAATATACCTGGTTACTTTTAAAATAACTCACCAGTTCGCTATGAGCAACTTAGTATTTTGCTACAACTGTAAATTTAAGTTTCATTGTTAATACATTTATTAACTTTTTCACTGTATACTTGTAATTTAGGTCGACCCAGTTTGCTACTGTAAGGATATTTATTACAGAATAGAGTACTAGGAGATATGTAAGTATGATAGTTTGACTAATTTTATCAGGATCAATTATATACAAAGCTATAAGTTATAGCTCTTTTTAACGTTTTGTCGTGCTGTGCGTTATATATCATCATCATTTCAGTTTTTAATATTACACTGCTGAACATAAGCTTTAGTTGCCATGCTTAGCAGGCGGGTTGGCAACCGCAGTTAAGCTAATAGAAATGTTTTAAGAGGGACAATATATATAGTTTACGCTTAATACAACTTTTACAAATACAAAAATTATTGCCTTAGGTTTTACTATATATACAAACGTCTTAATAATCTAAACAAAATCATTCAGTTAGTGAAGCATGAATTTATTTGGCTCATATATATATATATATATATATATATATATATATATATATATATATATATATATATATATATATATATATATATATACATATATATATATATATATATACATACATACATATATATATATTTAATACAGTTAATAAATAAAACTTAAAAGGAAAAAACAGTTCGGCTTTTTCAATTCTTGTTCCACGTGACCTGCATAGTAACAATTTTATATACAAAAGTATCTACTGCCGAGACTTAATTTTCTATAGTTTTTTTTTTCTTTTCAAGTTTCATTTTTTCACTGGGAGGTGCTATGAAAGAAAATCTTAATTCAGTAACAGATGAAATAACCAGCTCCGCTAGACATATGGTAGACTATACCATAAGTATTGGTTTAATAGAATGCCTAATAAATTTTAACTTTAATTAATATTTTAGGGCGTAGCATTTGACCGTAATATTTTTATTTGGAACGTAAGCGTTACCATAAAACTAAAGCGTAGCCAGATTAATAGAAAACAGTTAAAAAAAACGTTCTTATAACAAATTGTAGCTATAGAATTTTTAATACACTAACTACTCCCAGTAAAAAAAGAGACATTTCTTTTTTAAGTCTATTGTAGAAAAAATAGTATACTGAACGCCAGAGAAGTGTAGAATTCAAATTTTCCCAGTAATAGTTTTGTCACATGCCACTTCATTTTTATTAAATTTTATTATTGTTTTGATTTTTATACAGAATAGTGCATTACGTAAAATGTCAAAAGATAAAACTTATTGTATAGAAAAAAATAATTGTAAATAACAACGAAATTTATGTACAGTAATAATTATTTTAAAAGGAAAATGTGCTTACTTTTTTTCTGGTTAAACTGTGGATATTACAGTTATTACAACCAAAATAATGTTTTTTTTTTTTTTATTTTCGTTGTATCGGCATCTTGTTAGTTCCTATCATATAAAATATGCTAAATATCTAACATACAATTTGACGTAAGACCCTAACATGTATAATGAGCACTGAAAAGACGCTCAGAATATATATTGTATAAAACAATGATACTCTGCAATAAGGTGAACGCTCGTGATACGTGTATGGTTTTGATAGATGTATATATATTAAATGTTACCTATTTTTTTATAATTATTTGGAGGAAAAAAAGCACAAAACCTGTTTCTGTATTACATGTATTGAAGGTACTAGGTAGATACGACTGATTGTAATATGTCCACAATTTTTCTACTGCTGTGCTCCGAATGTTTGTTTTCAACAACTGCTTTAATTGTTTTAGTATGCTGAAATTTGATAAATATTTTTTCTTACATAATATGTATTTTTTTGTATTAGTTAAGAAAGTTCAACTTGTGGAGCATGGACAGTTATATGTCTACATTGAATCTCTGATTTCTTAAAAAGAAAATATGAATTTGTTTTTCTGGTATGTCCCATTTTTATTGTAATAATATCATTAGTAAGAAAAAGCTCGGATAGTGCCAATAATCTTAATTCGAGAAGTGTTCCGTTAATAATTCTTACTATTGTTGGCCATAAGTTTTTCAAATTTTTCTATAGTAATAAAAACTAGGCTTTTTCTCCCAATTTATTTGATTATACTGAAACTATAGACTACCTATATGTCAAATTTGGTAAAACAAAATGGGATGTACAGGTTTTTTTTTTTTTTATTAGGAATTGATAAGTTTTGTTGCGTATAAATATTGTTATGTCAATTCCATTTTTTTGTAAACTAATTACTGTGGAGTTCACTGACCTTTTCAGTTGCTTTGTTATTGTCTAAACTGATTTACTGCAGGGATTTATCAAGGTAAACTAAGTATACTTTAAACTAAATAATAAGTTATAACAACTGAAATACATCTTGTAATTTCTTAAACAGTGTTAACAGTAAAGCATTTAGGCCATACTTATATACTTAAAACATTTTATGTACAAGTTCAAATTTCTAAATTTATGCAGACTGTCATATATAAAATTTTTGGGTTTTATTTCATGGAATATACACGAATTATTCTATTTTGTTGTATATCATTTTATCCCTATTCTTAGCGAATCGATGGCAATAAACTAGATGTTTGCAGCCCAGAACGTAGCCACCTGGACTGCAATTTCTGTGATGTCCATCAAGTACTACAATGAACAGTCGTTAGAGCAGGCAGGCCAAGGTTTGTGTTTCATCGCAAAGATAATCTAAGGACAGTCCCCCGTCTCATTATTATATTATTCTTGCTGTGGCTATCTTGGGTTCGAAGTCTATTGAGCTATTTCCAAACTAGCCGAGGCATTTGATACGCAGGGGGAAGACTTTACATATGAATCAAAAGGACTTGGAGGGGTTTGCGCCACATACGACACTTCGTTGTTGCAGGCTAAATAGTTAGGGATGCGATGTTGTAGATGCGAAAAAACTGTTACGACTTTGAAGGTGTTGATGTACACGGATGTAGTGATTCATTTTTGTGTTACGAGTACTATATAGAGAAAAAGTGCTTTTTACATGTCTAGTTTGGGTGGCACTGTATAATATATATAACGCAAAAGTCTAAAAGTTATATTATTATAACTTTTAGACTTTCGCGTTGCGTGCTTTGTGGTTTATAAAAGAGGGATAACAGAGCTACATCAGTGTACTCGTACTGTTCTGTACATGCCACGGCTGATGTAACCTGGGGGTCTACCATGAAATGAAATTTAAATTTTCAGGCTCAATTTTGTATATTTATTCACTTTTAGATAACTTTAGTAAATTATCATAGTTTATTGAAATGATCTCGTCGCGTTTTATAATCTCTCACCAGTATAATATTAAATATGTTACATCCTTAACTAATACTACCTCTCTGTTGTCAAGTGGAGTCAAGTCTCTGCGCTCATCTGGAGAAAAAGGCTAAGATGCCTTCCAAAAAGGAGTGCTTAATAGAGTGAGGCAGTATTTAACGGCAGATCACCGCTTGAAATTGTATAAACTTCAAGTCAGGCCACATATGGAATATTGTTCTCAACTATGGGCAGGAATGCCACAGTATTAGCTCCTTTCGTTAGACCGCATTTAAAGTCGGGCGGCTTGAATTATTGATGATCAGCGCCTTACTGTCCGACTCGATCCACTGAAACTGCGTAGAGATGTTGCATTTTCTACCAAAATTATTATGGGGAATGCTGGAGTGCTCTGAGGAATTGTTCGGATTGATACTTGCTGCTAATTTTCACTACCGTACAACCCGCCATAAACTAAAGTTTCATCCCGACTATCTGGACGAGTGGCGGTCTTCCACCGTGCATTTAACGCACAACCACTCTTTGGAATCAACTTCCAACAGCACGTATTTCCGAATCGATACAACATCATAACCTTTAAAAGCATATTTCTTTTTAAAAGGCCTGCAGCCAGCACACCTGCAATGCCGTTGGTGTTGTGGGTGATAATGGGCAGCAGTAGTCACTTACCATCAGGTGAGCCGCATGCTCGTTTGCCCCCTGTGTGTAAAAAAAGTTTTTAGTCCAGCACAACATCAATCGTCTTAGACCGCAAGGGGTGAATTCTGTACATGTATATTGTTTAAATAAGTTCCTAAAATATTAGACAATTTTTTATCGACGATCATATTTCTATCATTATTATCATTTATATAAATAATGATGATGATAAAGACGATGACTATCAAAGAAAATAATCATAAAAGTAATTGCTAGTTCGTATTACTATAAATAAAACAATAATACTTCGTATTATAACTATATGTATTTTTACTTGACTATATTCAACACTAGTGACTCGTCGACTAACATTAAAAATTGCCTATGTGCTCCTCCATCTGATATACTACCTGTATACCAATAGCAATTGACTAAGCCGACTAGATCCCACAAAATAAACTTTCACCTTTATAATATTAAAAAGGATTGCTATGAACTCATTTTCATCACACCCCTCATCTTGAGCATTGTTTATTATCATCACACTAGCCGAGTAGCTGGGAATAGTGTTTTATTTTTACTTTCTCTGACAGAGTTTATTAGTATTGTACTGTGCTTCGTTCCTGTAACCGACTTTTACATCTCAGAAATGAAAATGAATGGTGACAACAATGTCACAAATGTGGTAACGAAATAATCATTTGTCAATAGGAGGAGATCGTTCTGTAATATTAAAAAATTAAATTACTATTCGGATTCTAACGTTCCATTTATTAAAAATATGTATCATACAAATGCAAATAATACAATACAATTAGAAATTGTTTATGAAAAATATAAATAAATATGTATACAGAGGTCAGACTGCCATTAGTGAAAAAGCACATTTTATCACAATTTTGCACATTACTCTTAAAACTATAGACTAAATTGTTATGCTAGGCGAATACCTACTTACTTGTGGCTAACATACCTACGACAATAGGTACCTTTGTAAACTTTATTAATAAGACGATAACAAACAACAATAGAGGCGACTAATAACGAAAATGTCCCTTCCTTGAACGCTCCTCGTGGTACACCCGCAATGGAGGGTATGTACCGTTAGATGCTCCATTCGCGTTTAAACCTGCAATATAGAAAACTTTGCTTAAATCATGACCCATAAATAATCGTGTAACTGCAAAAGGGAATATTTTTAATGATATAAAAAAAATAGTACTACCCTAAAACGTGTAATTTTTATTCGGGTACGTAATTAAATGATTTTTTGAGGGTTAAAGGGAAAAAATAAAGCTTCTAAAACGACGCAATCAAAAGATACGGTCGTTTATGTTCCATTTATATCGCATATTTTGACATTCGCAAAGGGAATCAGAACCTATAGGGTACTTCCCGTTGACCTAGAATCATGAAATATGACAAGAAGTAATGTCGTGTAGCACAAGTAAAGGAATAATCCCGGAAACCATAAATATGTATTTAATTTACAAAAAAAAAAAATATACTTGATGATTTTGTACGGAAACCTCGTTGCCCGAGTTCCCCATGGCAAGATGTAAGGTAAGGTAAGGGTACCAACCTTGTACACAAATTTTAAATACGTAATTTATTTCATGTGTTTTGTTCATTTCTTGATTATTTCCGTTAAATGAATAAAATGACGACGGTAAGACCATTAAATAAACAAAAAAAAAAATACTTTTATGTAAATTCAAATAAAACTGTAATCACTGATAGGTAGAAACGATCAATCTGTTAATACTTGTACTAAGCACAATACCTTTAGCGTTTAGCTGTCCATCCACAGTGCAAGCTTAAATTAATAATTCAGTTATAAATACATACATATATTTTAGCAAAAACACGGAAGCGACATTTAATTCACTCGTACGAGTATATAAAAGCTGAGGGGTCTTTTCTTTTGGGGTAGGCAGAATACCACAAGATGACATTTTGATTTTCCTTTTTCTGTCACAACATTACAACTCCGGCATCTCTGCTTCTAACAAGAGCTGTTGATGATAGGACTGTAACGTCATAAAATTCAAGCAGGCGAATAAGCATAGGTATCACAACGTTGCACACATAAAATTTAAATAAAATGCATAGATGTAAATATTTTTTGTAATGGATCTTTACATATCTTTGGGAATCTAGCTGTTCTAGAGTAGTTAGAACTTTAGGACAGGATTAGATTTCTTGCGGATAAAAATGGAATGGGAATAATACATACCGACCTATGTTAGCGATATACAAAGATGGGGCCTCAGTGAAAGATTAAACAATGAGTAAGAAGACGGCTCAGTTAATCTCGATGAATTCACCAAGAAATAACCACAATGGTTAAAAAAAGGGACAGTTTGTAGGTCAACATGGTATGGTTGCCAGCAATGGGGCTACTGATCCTTATAATTAACAATTTATTCGCCATCTCTACAGGGATCATCTCAGCCATTTTCTATCCACTGCTGAACATAGGTTTCTCCCATAGACTACCATAAGGAACGGTCCTGAGCCATCTGCATCCACTGACTTCCTACAATCCATTTGAGGTCGTCACTCCATCTAGTGGGGATCATCTTACACTGCGTTTGCCCTGTACGGACAGGACGACGAGGCTCCGTTTTTAATGTATAGTGATAATAAAATGGTAACCCTGATTACGCTATTAGGATGAGAGATGAGGTTAAAAGCAAGTCACTTGACTCGTCATAGTGATTTTTTCAAAAATTAATGGTTACCAATATGTCTTTGCCTATAGCTAAAAGCTCCGCTCCTAGTTCTGGGAGTCCAGTCACACGGCTCGTTCTCCACCCTCCCTAACCCTTTAAATACGCCTATGCAATATGCGAAAACCAATCTGACAGGATATATTACCAGCAACAGAAACAGGTCGCGCACTACTAATTACCTTTTCCTCAGGAAGGTAGGTAAAGTAACAAGTGCAGGTGCAGCAGTATGCAGTACCGACCTTGCAACAAGTGGTGCGGTGGGCCGACGGGACGCGCGGCACAACGCGGCGCCAGCAGCAGGTGGTAGAGTGCCAGATACACGGCGGCCGCCACCAGCGCCGCCACGCCCAGCGCGCGGTACACAGCACGCGCCGACTCTAGCGGCGGTGCCTCCGACACCAGCCCGCCCACCAGCGCGCCGATACAGCGACCTTGCACCACACGCCGTATATTATTATTGTTACTACCACACTATACGAATCACCTATATATTTACAGCTATGAAACAGAGAACAACCTAGTATAGCCTACTCTTTCACTTTATATGCCATAACATCTCATGCTGTCCTATTTTAGTACACCACAGGTCCATGACATACCTAATAAATGTACCGCACCATGGAAACAAGTTTCTAAAGTAAAAATACGTGTAGGCTTCTTTGATACCCATAGAAAGAATCTAAATAAATAAATTCTCGTTCTTCATCTATTTTTCCAAGTAAGTACTATTTACTATATATAAACTTATCAAAAAACTACTAAAACCATTATTGATGATAACCATCTTGCACTGTTTTTATAGTTATCCCATAAGCTTTTTCTGTGTTCTTAATCTTTTTTTGGTCATAATTTATCATTATGTACTTTTGTAACTACCGCTGTATATACGATTTCTGATTTTAATTAAACAGGAAGATAGAAACTATAAAGATGTCTTGAATAATTTATGGCACACATGGAAATGTATTAAATTGTTAATACCTACTTAATTAATAAATTAAAGAACAGACACACATAAAAAAGATTGCATGAAATATTTTCAAAAAATATCATTTACTTAACATTCCCCATAGTACATAAAAGTGTTGTATGTACAACTTGTGTGTACTAGTTTGCTATTTATTATATTATTATCTAAACTTACCAATACAGAAGTGTGCAATGACGGGCAAAGCTTGTCCGGTGACTGTGTACTTGCGCGGCACGAGATGCCTGAAGTACAACACCGCGGTCACCCACACGAGACTCAGCGTAAACACCTCTAGGATCTCACACACCGCTACCCAAGTGTAGTCCGTGCTGTATGCTAGTCCTGTGGAGTGGGTATTTTTCAAAATAAAACTGTTTATATTAGCAGATACCAATAAAGACTTCATGGTGTTTGATGGTATTCTATTCGATATATTCAGCTAATCGATAATTTTTTTATATAAATTTCTAAACAGAAAGAGAGAAGGAAAAATATTATACCTAAATGTGATAATACGATTATTTGTTTGTTTATTACCTCAGTCTTCATATTTATTTTACAGATAGGTACCACTCGTATTTGGGATGAACAAGGACAAGTTATTTCTCATTCCGCTCAATGAATCTACTCTGGTCCCGCGGGTGAAATGACAGGTAAAAACTAATATAATATATAAGATACCTTATTATTATAAACATAGAGTTTCAATTAAAAAAGGACAAATATTTTCTTAGCATCAGTTTTCAGTATTTATACATAGAGATGCTGCTTATAATTACCAGTGTATCTCAAACAGTAGAAAGTGAATGCGGTAATGAACACGTTGGAGTGTCCGATGTAGTCGACTAGCGCCTCCGCCCACAGGAGCGCGGGCACGGCCGGCAGCGCGCCCGCCGTCAACGTCAGCCCTATCTGCGTCGCTGTGGTGTTCATATCCAGTGTCGTCGTGTTCAGTTCAGACGCCGTTTTGTTTAGCTCCATTATGGTCCTATAGTTGACAATGTACACAATAAAAACATTAGTATTTTTATACAAAGAGCAGCTGATCCAGCTAATATTGTTTTATCCTATACTCCTCTCCATTTTTTCAAATCAAGATAAAAACTATCCTATTTTACTGAACTATGTGTTATTTTAACACTAGGCTCTGTGTATCTGTGTAGCGATCTAGCAATTTGCCCGAAGATGCTTCGTTAAAAAATGAAACACGTGTCGCAAAAGGTGCGTGAACAAAATGAAAGTTGGAGATTGATGGGTAGTGAAAGGTTGTAGAACTTATGGTAGTAATAGTGGTGGCCATTTTTAGAGTGTTGGTAGTCACACACATACTAATGGTAGCGGAATTAAACAAAATAATTTTATTTAAATAACCAAAAACTATCCTGTCTCTCAAGTTGTACATCAACTTGATAGACAGAATAGTTTTTAGATTCAGACACAGTTAACAGTACAGATTTTTAAAATTTCATTACAATCATTTTATATATTAAGATGACGGTTAAGAACACGGTCTGCCTGACGATAAGCGGCTACCATTGCTTATGATTTTTTTCAAATCAAAGATATAACGCGTCAACATATACACATTATGAATTTTTTAAATCACTATAAAATTAGAGATCTGATCGGTTTAAAATTTCATTACAATCATTTTATATATTAAAATGACGGTTAAGCACACGGTCTGCCTGATAATAAGCGGTTTCCATTGCTTATGATATTTCAAATAAAAGATACATATATTAACGCGTCAACATATACACATTATGAAATTTTTAAATCATTATGAAATTAGAAATTTGATCGGAGTACTTATCTTACAGAACCTAGAGAAGAAACAGACGGAAGAAAGATGAAGAAAGAAAAACAGATGTAAGGAGAAGCAAAATTCTGTGATTTTTCCACAGAGCATTTGCTATAGACTCGTGTGTGTTACTTAATGTAAATGTTCTGTATAAACGAATAACAGAGTTTTATCCTTCATGTGCACAAACATTAAGAATTTAAAATAGTAAATAGTCACCAGGGCAAATAAGAGTCGATCCCGCTCCACAGCATTCCAAGCAGTACGACCACTGCAAAAACGGCTGCAGTCTCCGCGCCGTACCTGCGGACAGCGTTCATGGGCAACGCGAGCGCGCCCGTCGCCGTGTGCCACCACCACTCGGGTGTAGACAGTGGCATGTGCCTGTGGTCAATACCAACACATTACATGTTACATAGTTATAAGGTTTTTTTAGTAAATTATAATAAAATAGTAACCACAATAAACGCTGATAGAGAAAGCATTAAGGAATAATGATAGGTGAGGATGAATGCAGAACAGTTGGCTCATTGTGACGAATTTGTCAAGAATTGAACACAATGGTTTTTTTTGATATCAGGGAAAACCAGACTAAAATTTGAAGTATTTTATGTCGGTTAGATAAAAAATACCTAGATTTGGTTACAGGTAACTTATATATTACTACAATGAGACCACTATTCTCTGTTATAAATTAATACTTCTTCAATCAAATAAGTTATGTAGGTATATGATATTAGCCGTGATCAAGTAAGATCAAAACCTGTGTGATATGATTTTCGTATATTCTTATTACTTACTTGTCGACGAGCAAAATGAGAGCTCCTATCAGCATAAAGACTGCGTGAAGAGTAAACGGCACAACGTAGGGCGTCTCGGGCATCTGTTCAGCGGCTAGGCCCGCTAAAGGGGGGAAGATAGCGAGCCCCAAGGTACCGAAGGCGAGCTGGCGTCCGACGTCACCGCGACCCAGCGACGTCTCGCGAGTGGCGATGACGCACGCAGCGCCTAGTAATGCTAGTCCAGCTGTTGGCCATATATCTGCTAGTACTCTGAAATAAAGGTCGAAAATTTATTCTGATGTTATTTATATTAGTGTTGATAGTTCTGTAGGACGGTACGCCTGTCTCAGCGTTCAAACGTCCAAAGATTAATCCCTACTGAAATTTCTGTTTTTTTTTATTCTACCCAGAATTGTAAAAAAGGCATGTGTTTCAATTTCTGAGGGTGAATTCGTGAACGATGATGGTACGATATCGCACATACAAATTGATTCCAGAAAATGTCACTGGTTATTACAGAAAACAATTAATAAAGACAAGCTCATTTACAAATAAAGCATTCGCCCACCTTATGACAAAATAAGTGGAGAAGGTGTATGTCGGGTCCCCGATTACAAGACGACATTCAGCATTGGCCAGTACACCATCGGGCTCGTCGTAAGGGTCGAGCACCTGGCACCGCACCGCTGGTGTGCACTCGTCAGTGTTCACGTACAAATCTTCCAGGCGCTGCGGCGGCACCGTGCACTTCGATGGACCACCTGCGACCATCACGTCCCATCATATTATTTACATGATGACTATAAATTACCTTTATTACCCGGTCAACCAAATACACGTCGAAGATGTATTCGTCGTGAATAAAAAAAATAATTTGGTTGTATTTCAACACGTATGCTTTATCTATTAATTTATTTAGATGTAGATAATAGACTAAACGAAAGAGTTATTTTGTATTCTAATTTTAGTGTAGTGTAAACATGCTAACCGTGTAGTCCCGGCATGCAAGAGGCAAATAAGGTGACTTAAGGGTCGACGGATAGACAGCAGCATTCCCTATATATATATATATATATATATATATATATATATATATATATATATATATATATATATATATATATAAAACGCTGTATCATCGTATTTCATATGAATTTTTTAAATAATCCATTAAAATATAAATAAGTCCAATAGTATAAAATATGTAGATAGAAAAAAAAATCTTTAATATGAATTTTTTACACTTTGCGTTATATTATTCTAATTTTCGTAGGGATTTCTAATTCTTTTGGAAATAATACTAAGCCTATGTTCGTATAGATAAAAGAATTTTTAAACCGGTTAAGTACTTTTTGATTTTATCCATTATTTACTAATAAACATACAACAAAACAAATCTTTCCTTTTAATAATTTTTACAATATTAGTATAATAATATATAGAAAAATATATGTCTCTTGCCCTGTGTTCTTGTTCTATAGTCTCTTCGTCGCTGTGAGGCAACAAAAAGAGCATATCCAGATGGTGTATAAAATAACTGTATACCTACTTACTGGTTTTATATGTGCACCAATCGGAATCGGCTGTCTCATTGTCGGTGAGCGGTTCGGGTGCAATTAACGAAAGTGGCAGTCGCAGACGCGCCTCGTGTTGCATGTACACCATACACTTCCCGTTGTAGCACAGGTGAGGTGGAAACTCTTCGTAGTCCCACTCATCTTCGTTACCTGTTTCTATTAACATCTGTTGACAATCACATTAATGAAATAAGTAATTCCTTTATAAAAATATCCCTTATTGTGAAGAGAAAAAATATTTTCTACGAGTCTTGCTTTAAAGGTATAGGATTCAGTTATTTGCTCGTGATCTGTATATTTATCAAAATCTTTTTTCTTAAGAACTAAGAGAAAAAAAAATAACTCTAAAAATTAAAATAGCATTGGGTATATTATGGTTAATTGAATTTAAAATAAACTAAAGAATTAAAAACTACACAGAATCCTTACAGCAACCCTTATACCTTATTTGTCCCAATTTCATTACCATCTTTTGAAAAACCTACCTACCTCTAAATATTTCTCGGCTTAATTTTTATAAATTTAAGCAGTTTCATATAAATGTCTAGCAGTTTTTGCGTGATAGAATAACAAACATTACTTTTAATATTATTTTTTTTTATTTTTATAACGTAAACACACACGTAAACGTACACAGAGGTGTACTTACAGTAGTATTGGCGACGCTGTTATACATAGGGCTAAGTGTGGTTGAAGCGGGGTTGTTCGTTGTAAACGGCTTTTTCACCCAAGTCATGTTCGGGTCGGCGCATCCATACTCACAGGAACCCACTGCCAGCACACCAGTCTGAAGACAGATTGAAAAATAAAAAAAATAAAAAATGTATTCGATTCATAACAGAAAAGGAATAGAAAAAGATGGTTCATCCCAATGTTTAGGTATAGTTAATTAATTATTATTTTTTTATTATGATGTGCTCGCCGTAATGTTGAATGTTACGTTCACCATAACGGCATTTGTCGTCTAATACCTGTGACTACACCACCAAGGATTACAGTTATGAGCATTTTTTTAATTACGCCACTTAGAATGGCAAACAACCTGACAGCCTATACTTGACAGAGTATACTTTGTTGCCCCTGATATCCCCCATGCGTTGCCATTCCTGAAGACTAAGGTGTTATTACTCTGTGCCCTGTAAATTCACTGCCATATCTATCTCACCCTTCAACCTGAAACAGCAAACACAACTGCTTTACGGTTGAAACACAAATGGAACAGAGGTACCCAAGCAAACGATTTTTGTACTACGAGTCTTCTTCTGGTATTAATTAATTTTCTGGCAATTTATTTATTTTATTTTACTCATTTATTTTCACAACTGATTTATTATTTGTTTGTCGAAGAATTGCGGTTTAGCATCGTAATAAATGTTCACTATACAATTTATTTAATTAATTAGATGTAGGTATTTATCACTCCTTTAGTGGTATGCACATAAATAGATGACAATCCAACCGTCCTAAGTACTTATAATTTATGATCATACAAATATGTCTACGAATGTAATGTAGAGACGTATTAATTAGTATCATCAAATCGGCGGTGGACTTGAATACAAATTACGTAGACGATGGTTTTACTTAATATTTTTGTAGGTATATCAATATCAGCTACAAAATATACGCTATTCTAATATTTGTATATAGGTTACTGATGCGCTTTCGCATCGTACATGTACTTATATGACCTACACTACACACGGTTGAGAAAGTAGCCAAGAGCGTTGTTTACGGTGCGGTTTCCGAAATAATAATAAGACTGGTTTCTCTAGTGTCCGTCTCCACATCATCCGTCTTCCGTATACGAAACTGACAATTAAATTATTTGTAGAAAATTTAAAGTTGTGAGAAAATGGCTGCTGTTTCATATATATTGAACAAACATCATAAATTTACTGGCCTTGCATTTACATACTGGTTTGGTTTTAGTACGAAGCAACCTCACCGGTGCCACATGACCCTGAAATCGAATATTTATATATTCAAAACAAAAAGTATAGGACAAACCCTCTCGCCGGACCAGCGGTTGCATCGCATGTCCTCCTTGCACACCTCCTGCATGACGTAAGCGCTCTGTTCGTCGCACATAAACAGGACTTGCGGTCGTCGCACCTACGGACAAACACATTGAGAATAATATTATTTAGGTCTTATGTTCACAGAAAACTCACTGTGCCCTGTATAGTGTCACTCGTGTTCATATACAAACCAGCTTTTACCCGCGACTCCGTCTGCATGACCGGGATATATTTACTGACCGGGATAAAAAGTAGGCTATATCCTTCTCCATTCCATATAGTAGGTATATATACCAAATATATTGATAGGTTAAGTTGTTAAGGCAATATATGGTAACAAACAAACAAACTCACTTTCACATTTATAATATTAAAAAGGAGTAATGTATAATTGTTGATGTAGGTATTATGGAGTGCTAAAATAAGGATATTATGAAGAACTAAAATTAGGCTTCGCAGAAATCTGTGCTACGGCGAACAGGATTGATTATTAGACTCGTAAATATAGTCCCAGTTAATAATTCATTTCAGCAAGCAATTTATAAAGTGCAATCTAGACTAATGTTTGGAGAAATATAAGTAGACATCTTTTGCAATATATATAATTTATATTAAACATTTATATTATACCTATTACATAAAATGGGCAACACTTATTTATATTTGTAAGTACTATATAACATAATTTATAATAACATTGTATTTTGTGCAATGTCAAAAAAAAAGATGATCCATAAAATTTTTAAATATTCCTGCGACGAAGAAGAATATCCGCCCGATTGTGTTGTAAAACTGTTTAATTGAAACTTTTATTATCGTAATTAAAGTAAATAATAACAATGAGCATTTAATTTACCGGATGGCGATGGCTATACGGCACAGTCAACAGGAGGGTGTAAAATAGAGCGCTCAGTATGAAGCAGATGGCGGTGACGATGCGTAACAGCGATCCGGAACCACTCGGCCCTGCTGAACCCCCAGTCGATCCGCGGCCCACTGACAATCTGGAATGTTACGGTTTTTATAAATAAATACGAAAAATAATCAATCAATTAACCATTTATTGCTTAAACATAGGTACAGTTAAATATCTGTGCTTATTACAATTTTTAGAAATACAAAAGTTTGTAAGAATTGATGGATGTTTATTACTCTTTATTCATTATTCTTCATCGTTTAGATAAATAACATACATATTTGGGGGGTAAGGATTGTTAGTAATGGGGACTACCAGTCCCATTGCTAGCAATATACCCTATTAGGCTAACGCCCCCGCGATTCCCTCTGGAAACCATCCAAAAATCCTAGGTGTATGACCTGGAATTCAGCACGATATTGATAAATAATCACGATATAATAATTGCAGGTTAACCCTTTTCATTCTCTTCTATCATCCTTCACTGGTGCTTACAAGCGTATTATACTATTAACGCAGGCGGGGTTATCTTTCCATTATCAACCGTAAAAAAGAACATATATTTGTCTCACTGTGATTGATCATATTAATAATTAGTAGTATCATATCAAAATCTATGGTTCTTACTTGTCAATAAGTGGTCCTAACAGAGCAGGACCGAGTAGAGCGATGCATGGTGCAACAGCAGATATCAAGCGGGCTTCACCTCTGTCTAAACCCAGTGACAGCATATGCGGCGGTAGAAAAGGAAATATACAGCCGACGCCTGTAGAACACAAATAATGAAATAGAAGAGGGGGGAGTTGATAGTAACGGGGTCTAGCGGTCCCATTGTTTGTAATGAAATCGCTCAGATCGATCTCCATGCGATCCCTCCTGGAGACCATCGTGGTTAATTCCAATGGACCAACTAAACTTACTTCATTCTTCACTGGTATTCGGCCAGCGTATACGAGTACCGATAGCGCAGGCGCAGCTACTATTCCATTTTTATTTCTTAAAACAATACTGAAATAGGTAGGTGCCTACTTGCGCAATTGAACTTATCAATATTTTTGTTATTTAACTAAAACATTTAAAAAATAAACCGTTTGAGTTATCTTTTTCCTTTCTTATCGGTCTATGATTCACAAGGGTCATAGTATGAGAGAAACTCTCCAGATCAGGCAGATGACCTACAAAATGTACTCTTGAAGACTATACTTACTACCATATTATGCTGCTCATAAGGTAGATATTGTGAAATTGATTGATTGTTATACGTCAAATTATTATCTTTTTGCTCAAAGTTGTTTTTTCAATTTATATGTAATAGAGCTTTGTGATATAGAATATCCAAAATATCTAATTCTTAATAATATCATAAAACAAGATGCGGTGATCTATTATTACGACATACCTACCAAGGAATAAACTATAAAAATGTGTGCCCGTATTATTATATCCATGTATCGATATAAATATGACACGTTAGTACAAGAAAAAAAATTTGAAGTATAAATACACCAGGCCGCCTAGTCGTAGTAAATATCCTTCTATTACGAGAGAGAATCGTGCCGAATAGTGCGTTGTTATAGTATTATATTTTACATAACAAAAATATTGTTCTACAACAGCATCACGTATTATTATGTCATAAAATAGGTACATATCTAATATAAAAAATGGTATACCCATCATAGTCAAGGCTACATTAAAAATATGTGTATTTTGTTTTTTTTTTCATATGTAATTATATATATACTTCACCGATATATCTATGAATGTTTCTTATCATTTCACTTATTCAATTTCAATATAATCAAAGTCGCAGTGTAGTAGATATTATGGTGTAACCTGCAGGTACAGTTCAATAGATATGCCTACACGTATGTAGTACAGTAGGTAGGTACATATACTGGGTACGCGGTATCAAGTACATATAAGGTGAACGGTCACTAAATAATTCTGTATCGCGAAGTCCAACGGTCCATAGAAGGAAGCTTGCGGCACAGGGAGCACTTTGTTACAATGCAAACGCTCACACCGCGGTTTCACCGCAACATAATTTTTTGCTAGTATCATGAACAGGATCGGAATCCTGTCTCATAAGTGGAAATATCCTGATGTGTTCTGTGTGAATTATGTACGCACGTTCTCGTAAGTGTAGTTATGTATATTATAACATCTCATACTGTCATATATAATATTTATTATTCCTCCCTATCTCCCGAACTTATCTTATTAACTTAACCAATTATATCTACGGTATTATTATATGATTTTTAATTACTTATTTATAAATTAATATTCAACAATACATGTTTCCCAAACGTTCCCAAACAAATTGCCGTATCAATGACAATAAAATATTTTTGTAAATCATTTATAAATATACGCATGTAACCTACCATAAAAATAAATACTTAATCCAAAATTTACTTTAAGGTACTCATAATTTTAATTGAAGATAATTGTTGTGTAGTGTGCTTAATTCATAAACACTCAATCGTTTCGCCCCAATTGTGTAGAGACAATTTAACTGGAGTTAATAATACTCTTCATTTTATGTCTGAAAAGATGATTACAACACTCATAGTAATCGAGACTGTTAACATTTTTCTTTTTTATTCATATCAAATTTTATAAGTATTACTACTATGAACTCCGTACGACGAGGTTATCGAGAATGGAGCACATAATTACACTTACTATCAAATATAGGCACATAAATAATGATTACGACAGTTTTAGCGATTGATTATATTTTTTAAAGCAAATTTGCAAAGGAGAAAAATCCGATATCTTCATTAATTTTAAAATTATTATACCTATGAAGAATGAATATTAATGTTGTCTAAATAAAGAACATTATTATTATTAATAAGTTGTTTTTTTAAATTTAAATATATGTAATAGGCGATAAAAGTAACGAAATTAAAATACTTTTAGCATAGATAATACACATCTTAATGATTTCAAAAAGTATTGTCAAAATCATCACACACAAATAAAAACAAATTTGAAAACCTCTTCCCTTTTTGAAGTCATTATTATACTAGAATCGTGATTGCTCTATAAATCTATTTCTTTACTTTATCTATGATGTACATTTTTTATTTATATTAAAAAGGAGGTAAATTAAAAAAAAACGATACATTTAAAATCTGTTTGTGCTGTTCTCAATACTAATTTACCTGAGAGAAAACAGAAGAGCACGCATTTTAGCGTTATGAGATTTTTATTCACGCACTGCTTCATTTTGATGATTTTCTTGAAGTATCTTCAATTAGCAGGCAAAGTTTTATATAACATCTTGAATCTGAAATCAAAACCAAAAACTCATTTTAAATATATTTCAGTATAGCTATAGCAATATTGTTCACCAATACTGTTATAGCTGTACTATAATAAATAGGTCAGTTAGATGTTTATAAAATATAAAGTTACAAGTGTACAGACTCCATAGATTAGATGTAAAGAAATAATAAAATAAACCCCAATCATCACCGTATGAGTAATACAGTAGTAGTAGTACAGTACAATTCTACGTGTGATAAAAACTGAAGGAAAATCCTCTATCTAAAGATTAGGTTGTGTTTGCATGGCTGTGTTTCGGTTTGAAAGGTGGGATTTGGCGTGAATTTACTGGGGACAGAGGAATAACATCTGAGTCCTCAGGAATGGCAACGTATGGGGGTATCATGGGCGAAACAGTTTACTCTGTTATGTCCATGGTACTGCTCATGTCTATAGGCGACGGTTACCACTTTCCATCAGGTGAGCCATCAGCTTGTTTGACATTCTAAGTTGTTTAAAAAAAAAAGGTTTCTTTGTATAGCTGAAAATTGTAATTATTTTTTTAACATTCGAAGAAAAAACTTCTTTGACTTTGAGAGAATGAAAATAGAATGTATTTATTTGAACAGACAAAAAGTATGACGAGGGTTGAACGTCGTCTGCGTTGACCTTTAACGCAGATCTAATTGAGTGCAGATCACGTCACTGATCAATCTACCGGATGCTTGAACAGTTGCTTATAAAATTAAGCGGTCATATACCTTTACAGAAAAGCAGCTAAACTCCAAATAAATTACAAGATTATGTGTATATGTAGATATCTAATACTGACAAATAGGTAGCCATTTTACGGAAATCGAATCCTTACAGATTGATATAAAAAAGAGCCTACCTATCGGTGATCACTGATGCGTGTAACACAGAATTGATACCAATATAATAATACAAAAACTTAAACAATTATAATGATAGATATCGAAATGGGGCGTGGGGGGAGGAAGGAATTGTTAGTAATGCTATCTGACAGCTCCATTACTAGCAGGTCAATTTCCACACGGTTTCCTTTGAAAATCACCGTGATTAAATCTTGTGAAATTCGTTACGACGGACTAAGTGACTTGCTTCTGCCAGCGCATATCGATATCGCGGATGGGGCCACCATTTCATTATCACCCATTAAAAAAACTTTCATTCATTCACGTTCATTTTACCCTCACCGATCATGTTTCATTGGTTCCCCGCCAATGTATACTGATAGCGATATGAAATACATAGTATGAAATACAGATAGGTACAACATGCAGTAGTTATGAGTATTTAGAGTTTTATATGACTTGCCAGAATTACTACCTAGCTGCCAATGTAAAGAATAATGTGTGGAAATAACATTCCCACGAATTAAATTATAATATCGCTCACAACATAAGGTGTCCTAAGTTTAATGTCCCGAAAGAATCGAAGCATTTAGGTTTACAATAAATATTGCTCCGTAAAAATCGGAATCTACATTTTTGGTCGCTTAAAATAAATATCAATATTAAACTAATATTATTTGCAATATTACTGCTTATATCAAACGTAAGAATTTATTACCTACATGCATATTATAAATTTGTGACAAACATCGTATATTTAGTCCGAGGAATTAGAAGAATACGGAGTCTGAAGGCAAGAAGGGTATAATTTTGAATCAAAATTTTAGACACTACCTATATCATTGTGACTTTTATTTAAATATTGATCCTTATGCTATTACCACGGCCATTATTCAAACTTTTTTTGTCGATAAATTGTGTGTTTCTGTTAATGTTAAACCAATAAGATCTTTTACACAAATAGAACTTCTTATTGTTATTTATAAACTTAGCAGTCGCGATGCGTAAGAAATGTCATGGATGCACGGAATCGGTAATCAGCTCGTTGATAGATTTATTCATGGTGTTGTTCAATTTTATATAATACATGCAACAGCTATCACTTTCCATGTGTATAACTTTCTAATTTCTATATGCATCTATTTCCGTGAGATTGATTGCCATTTACAACAGTAGAAACCAGATACTCGTATAAAAATATAATTATACTTACTTATTTAAAAAAAAAAAGAACGGATAAGTCCGATTTTTTTTTTTTTTGGATAGGAGTACAACGTTATTCCAACAAAACCAATTAATGAAAGTACTTAAGCTAAAACATATTAGTTTCGTGAATCCAGGCCAGGGCCATTTATTTACACTCCCACGTGTGACTGTCGCTGTGTGTCATGGATTCACGAACATCAAAGTAAAGCTCTATTGTGATCTACGTGAGCTCATATAGAACGAAACTAGTAGGCGAAATTCTTAACCGTTTATTTAATCTGAACGTCGACCCATTCGAATAAATTGATGCAATCTTGTTATATCGAATAAACCAGTGTTTCCCAACGTGGGGCCCATGCCTCACAGGGGGGCAATTTGATAGTTAAGGGGGGGAGGGCAATTAAAAAATGGACTCGAAACGATTTTAACCCTTTTGCTCTTAGTCATTTAAATGCTACGAGTAAATATAGGTGCCAAATTTAACAAAAAAGGTAAATTGAAAAAATGCTGTAAATATTTAGTAGGTATAATTTTGTTTAACATTACCAAAACATCAACTGGGCGATTAGAGTCGTCAAGTAATCTTTGTCGGGAAAAATTATGTATGGGGACATAAAAATTTTAGAAATGTTCAAGTAGGGCATGGCACAAAAAAAGTTGGGAAACACTGGAATAAACCAAGGACCAATTGCTGAGTAGTATCAATTTTGTCACAAGTCCACAACTAAGCACTGATCCTATTTGCAGCAAACATCATTGAATTCATATATATCCTGGAAATATATAATGATTATGTATAATGATGATGATGATTACTATATAGTTCTTAGATACTCGTAAGGGTAACTTGTGAAATAAGTACCTAGATAGGTCGATGACACCTAATATGTACGAAACATAATTTTCTTAATCAAATATTAGAAGCTATAGACAGATAATGATAAGCCTTTAAATTGGAAATCTGTGAGTACTTATCTACATAATAAACTTAACAGAATAAATGACTGTAATTTAAATAATTAGAAGTCACGCAATCAAGAGTTTACTTATTACTAGATTGCAATCATAATTGAGTAGGCATAAATCATATCTATACATTCGAAAATTACATGGATAATAAAATTTAAGCCAAGTAAAATAATGTAACAAGTACCTAAAAAGATAAGAAGATTACGATAAAAATAGCCATATAAGTTACAGATGTCTAATCAATAAAAAATAAGGGGCTTCTTTTAGATCCCCTGTGGCTTGTAGTTTATAGTACGTACCTACGTACGAGTTTATTATTAACGTACCTACTCTTTGAAGTAGTTCTTCTTTTTGAACAGTACTAATATTATAAATGTGAAAGTTTGTAAAGACGTTTGAAAGTTTAGATGATTGTATGTTTATTACTCAATCACGTTTAAATGGTTATAAATGAAATTTGACAGAATATGCGTAGATTTTTTTAAAGGGCGATAATGGTATTGTAACCCCGGGGGCACCAGTGAACAATTATTTATAAGTGAGGATGAAAGCAGGTCAATTAGACCATCGTCTCGAATTTCACAAAATTAACAACGATAGTTTCCAGGGAAAATCGTGTAGAATTAACCTGACAGGGTACATTCTCAGAAACAAGATCCAGAATCTTGATTAATGGTGTGTGCAAATTATATGGTGTTAATGATAATTTAAATTATTACTTAACTATAGGTACAGAATTGTGTCTTACACTTTTGTATTGTATATTATCTATTTACATTCTTACATTTATAAACAGAAGACTCAGCAGAACAAAAATAAAATTTATTATTCTATTACACTGCTTTACAACACTGAATTACACGGGCCAGCGCGGTCAGTATCAATTTTGACAGCGGCACCAGATCTAATAAAGGCCATCGTATAGTCCACCGTCCGTAACTGGGTTACGAATTGTATAAACATAAACATGATCGTCCCCAGCTTTCACGCGACAGAGATTGCTAGTGGCAAAATGCCAGAAGAGAGAGATGAAATTTTATAAGCCAAACAGTTTAACAGCGCCGTGTTTACAAGATAAAAATATATCTAATCAGAAAAGATATTAACTTTTTTAAACATAAATAACAATTTGCAAAAAAAGATAACGGATCATAGACGCTGTGTACAAAGTATCTTTTTAGTCTCTGAAATGAGTTACATAAAGAATATAGAAACTCAGTTTTAAATCTCTAAGGCCATACCAAATTTCTAAGTGATAAAAGTTTTTGAAGTTTTTCTGTTACATAGTTTAAAATAAATATACTTTAAATTTTTGATGTAACGAAATAACGAAAACAAATATAATATTTTTCATTTTTGCTTTGTTCACGGGCCGCTTAGACTACTATTATGGATAATTCAGAACTGGCAATAGTACCATAAGAATAAGAACTTATTTATTTTTATGATAGTAATTTACAATATACCATGTAATTAAAAAAAAAGAAAATCATATCGCATTATTTATCATTCCTTACTATCTATAAATGGGGTTCCCGGTGAAGCTAAAAGTTATGAAGTATTGCATGATATCTTACCAATTATTATTATTCACTAAGATGTTATTTAATCGTATGGTCCCCGCATAGAATAAGCCACCCCTTCCTTTCCCGTGGGTGTCGTACGTATAAAAGCCGACTAAGGGAGGGCGAGTGATGGGCAGCAGCATCCCTCTTAACACTTTTAAGCCTGACTGCGATTGCCAATCTGCCTGCCAAGCGTAGCAACTACTGGCAAAAACCTTCCAAAAGGGAGGCTTAAGTTCAGCAGTGGACGGTTAAAGGCTGATATGATGATGATAATGAAGGTGTACAGTGTTTTTAAATTGTATAATTTAGAGTATTTTTTATTTTCTAGTTGCTGATGCTCTGAACTATTACTATGTCTCTACGTAAAACATACAGTTACCACAGTGTTATCAAGAATAATAACG